GGCAAAGAGCAAACTTTACTATATCATATAAAGGAATAAAAGGCAATAATGCATGTTACATTGATTTTTATTACTTTCTTTGTCTCTTCAGTGTTTTATCTTCGAGATTCTGCCTGTAATGCACTCACAGGAACAGGAGTGAGCCATTCAAGTCTTCTCAAGTCTGCTCTGCCATTTCATATGATCTTGGCTGATTGAAGACTTCAGTGCCTTTCATCTACACTGTCTGTACAACAATTTACGTCATTAATCATTGAAACTTTATTAACCTAAACCACTAAACGCTCTCTATAACTACACTGCCACAACCTCCTGGGCTACATAATATCGAAGATTCACCACCCTCTGCGAAAAAACAGTTCTCATCATCTCAGTCCAAAATGGTATCCCCCTTATTTTTTAAGTTGTTCCCTCTGGTTTTAGATTCACCTACAATGGGAAATATCTTACCTGCATCTACCCTGTCTACCCCATTAACAGGTTTCATTGAGATGACCTCTCATTCTTCGAAATTCTAGAGAAAAGAAGGCAAATGTGCTCAATCTCTCTCCAGCAGACAGACTCACCATCCTAGAAACAAGTCTGATCACTAAAGATTTAAAGGGACCTGAGAGGCAATTTTTTTCACATAGAGAGTGCTGCGTATATGGAGCAAGCTTCCAGAAGTAGAGGCAGGTACAATTAAAACATTTAAAAGATATTTGGTCAGGTACATGAATAGGAAAGGTTTAGAGGGATACAGACCAAATGAAGGGACTTGTTCAGTTAAGCATTTTGACTTCAGTTTAGGTTTCGATGCGGCACATTGGCACAGTGGTTAGCACTGCTGCCTCACGGCATCCAGGGGCTCATGTTTGATTCCACCCTCGGGTGACTGTCTGTGTGAAGTTTGCATATTCTCCCTGTGTCAGCATGGGATTCCTTTGGGTGCTCTGGTTTCTTCCCACAGTCCAAAGACATGCAGGTCATGTGGATTGGCCATGCTGAGTTGCCCATAGCATCCAGTGATGTGCAGGCTAGGTGGGTTAGCCATGGGAAATGTGGGTTTATGGAGATAGGGTGGGATGCTCATTCGGAGGGTTGGTGTGGACTCGATGGGCCAAATGGCCTGCTTCCATGCTGTAGGGATTCAATGATTCTATGAAATGTACTTGGCATGGGCAAATTGGGCTGAAGGGCCTGTTTCTGTGCTGTATAACTCTATAATATTATCTTTCCTAAGTTAAGGAGACAAAATTGTGCAAATTTGGAAATATTACATTTGGTCCCCATGACTAAATAAATGTTGCAAACTACTGGGGTAGAAGTACTAACCCTTCGGTAACCCACTAGGCACAGTCTACAGATTATTTAGCTACTTCAGCACACTCATTAAGTCATGGCAATACAACTTGAGCCTAGTGGAAGAAATGGATAAATAAGCTAAGAAAAGGCCTTGCATGTTAATTTTTTTTTCTTTTTTCATTCACAGGATGAGGGCGTCGCTGGCTGGGCAGCATTTATTGCCCATCCCCAATTGCCCAGAGGGCAGTTGAGAGTCAACCACATTGCTTGGGTCTGGAGTCACATGTAGGCCAGACCAGGTAAGGATTTCTTCCCTCAAGGACACTAGTGAACCAGATGGGTTTTTCCGACAATTGACAATGGATTCATGGGCATCATTAGATCCTTAATTCCAGATATTTATTGAATTCAAGTTCCACCATCTACCATGGAAGGATTTGAACCCAAGTCACCAGAACATTACCTGGGTCTCTGGATTGACAGCCCAGCAATGATACCACTAGCCCATCACTTCCCTGACTTAATTTTCACGAAGTTTATATTCAAGCACATATCATGACCTTATCTGATACACCAGCTTATAAAATTGTTTTTCCATTTATGTTATTTGTTTAATGCTCACACTTGAACAATTGCTCAGTGTAAACTGAAATGTAACATTAGGTTTATTGATCATTTATACAGTTAGAAAGCATCACATCTGAAACACTTGATAGTTGCTTGCCTCCAGCATTGAAGTAACTGATTAGACTCCATGTATTTTAAAATGATGCTGCAGAAGACAGCAACTTGCTAGCTTCTTGTCTGGAATTGATTTAATTCCCTTGTCTTATTCCGTCTAGCCTTATATTAATTCCCTCCAATTACCTTGTTAGATCGCATTGTAGGAGTACAAAATATTTCTTAACTCCCAGCAGCCTTGTTATCCATTGGCCCAATGGAAGTTCTTACATCTCTGCCAGAAACTGCCAAACTTTCCTTCCACTGATGATATAAGGATGAAACTCCAGAAATTTATGTTACAAGCGTGAAAATGCTGTGACTTTAAGAGGTTATTTTATCCCAGTTTGTTTTTTGATGAGAGATTGTAAGGCAGAGGTATCAATCGGTCTACCCAAACCTGTAGAGTAAACAGCTTGGGAGGCCTTAGGTTTTTTTTTCAAACAGTCTGAATAGGTAGGGCCAGCTCTCACAGATCAGGATTTCTGGGTTTTTACGTTTAGCTTTAAGCAGAAGATATTAAAGTCTCAACAAAGTTGGAAACTTCAGTGAATGTCTCCTGGCTGCTACTCTCTCTGAATTTTAACTTGATTTTGTTTCCTTCTGGATAGGAGAACTGCATGTGAGAATCTGTGTCTGAATTTTCCTTCTTATTAAGCGGTGTGTTTATGAGATAGTACTGTATTTGAACAGTTAATAGTTACTGTATCTGTTATTCTGTTAAGTTTTCCAGTAGAGTTATTATTCTAAATTCCTCTTTCTTGGTTGTATTTAACTACAGTGTTTAAATAAATAATATTTTGCTTAATGTCAAGTAGTTCGACCAGTGGCATTGCATCAGGAACAGGCACTTCACATTTGCCTTTAAAAATAAGAAAAAGTTAGGGTCTAGGTTACCTTATTAAAATATTTTGAGGATGTTTAGTCTGGTACACAACACAAGCATGTAGACTTCCCAGCATATTTTCCCTTTCTGTTTTCCATCCAGTTAATACTTAACAATCTGACTAGGTAAGAACGAAAACTTACCATATTGTCTGTATCTACATATAAAGTTACTTGCTTTTGTTAAGCCCTGAGTGGAAAAATTGTCTTTATAGATATGCATCCCTAACACAGCTGGTAAGTCTCACTCCTTCGGGACTTTAAGGTGTTCCGCCCACAAGTCAATATGATATCTACATATTGGGTGAGGCTTATGACATTCTTCGGTATAAACCCTTTCAACCCAGTGCTGGGTTAACATCAGTCAGGTGCTCTTGCCCATGGAGCAAAGTGGTGATCCTCTATTACATCCAGCTGATCCTCCTGGTATGGAGTATAGTTTAGGCTAACTACCTGCCCAAGAACTCTATCATAGAAATGAGCCCAAACATGATATGATGGGCAGAAGGCAGCAGAAAGAAAAGGTATTTTCATGTGTAGCTGGGTGCAGAAGAGAACAAGCAGAGGAGCAGATTTTTTATAAATTCTTTTGAAAAATTGATCTTGTTCCTGAATGAGTGTTACTGAGGCAGTGTTGTCATGAACACCTTTTTGAAGAAGGCTTGTTCATCCCTGCCGTATTGATTGCAATGTTAAGTTCCAGAAACATTGACAACTTGCTAATCTTAAAGGTTGTTTCCATAGTGGTGAGCTCTTATCTAATGAGGCATTGGAGGCTCATAATTGTCTCTCATCAGCTGTAAAGCTGATTGTGATGTTTATCCTATGCAAGGGGGAGTATGAGGTGGTTCACCCTGATTTAAATTGAGACGGTTACTGTGTGTAACAAGTGCCTGGTCCGTCTCGAAGCAGAAAGCCCTGATAATTTTCTGGATGGCTTCATTTCAGATCAGATTTCCACTTGTAAATTAAACCTGATATGTGGATTTTCAACACTGTGGGCCCATTAAATATACAGATTAGGCCAGGGTTATGGCTGGGTTAAGTATCTGTTAAGTAAAAGGCATTTGTGGACACCTTTCATTATGCCTCAAGGGATTTCAATCAATGAATAGTTTTTGTGGCGCAGTCACTGTGTTGCTGTGGGAGACTGTCAGCTATAACATACATATCAAAATCCCAGTAACTTTAGATGAGATAAGTGATTAGTGCATTTATTTTTATGATGTTAGTCAAGGGATAAATATTGGTGGGGACATTATGTGACCTCCTTGTTCCTCTTCAAGTTGCACTATGGAGCATTTTTAGATCCATCTGAAAAGGCAGATATCTTGGTTTAACATCTCAGTCAAAAAAGTGGTTATCTTTGATAAGATGTTCAACCTTTTAGGGATTGCATTTAAAAATCAGTTCTGAATGATGTGCTCCATCCTGGATCAGGGTTTAACTCCACAATCCTCTCACTCAAGGGAAGAATTCCTACCATTGAAGGCTCAAAAAGTTAGATTTTGTGAAGGTTTCAAAAGATGAAAAGGGAGACAATTCCAAGGAATTGGGACAGCACGGTGGCTCAGTGGCTAGCACTGCTGCCTCACAACACCAGGGACCTGGGCTCGATCCTGTCCTCGGGTGACTGTCTGTGTGGAGTTTGCACATTCTCCCCGTGTCTGTGTGGGTTTCCTCTGTGTACTCCGGTTTCCTCCCACAGTCCAAAGATGTGCAGGCTAAGTGGATTGGCCATGCTAAATTGCCCATAGTGTCTAGGAATGTGCAGGCTGAGTGGGTTAGCCATGGGAAATGCAGGGTTACAGGGACAGAGTTGCGGGGGGGGATGTGGATGGAAAGCTCTGAGGAGGGTTAGTGTGGACTTGATGCGCTGAATGCCTGCTTCCACACTGAAGGGACTGTATAAAATTAATAGAGTAAACTTTGAAGCTGAAGATGTATGGTCAAAACTATACGTTTATACACTATGACCTAGTATTTAACACACAAATAAGGCATCTATAAATTTAGCTCAACTCTATAAAATACTGCAAGGCTAGTCCCCAGTGTCAGAAGACTGAGTTAGGAAAAGCAGCTAGAAAACTTGAACTCTTTAGCCTCAATCTAACTAGGGCGAGGTGAGGCAGTGAGTCTCATGGAGATACAGTATGTAAAATGCTAAGTACTAAATGGAGTAGAACATAGAACATAAAAGAATGCAGCTTAGGAAAGGGCCCTTTGGCCCACAATTGTGCCAAACTTGCTGTCAAAGTCAACTAATCCTTTCTGCCAGCCCTTGGTCCATATCCCTCCATTCATTGCATTTACAGGTGCTTATCTAAAACCTCCTTAAATGCCCCTATCGTATTTGCTTCCACCACCCCTAGCAGCATGTTCCAGGCTCGTATCACTCACTATGTAAAACATTTGCCCCTCACTTCTTCTTTGACTTCTCTCCCTCTCACCTTAAATGCACGCCCCCTAGTATTAGACATTTCGACTCTGGGAAAATATTGTCACTGTCAAACCTATCTATGCATCTCATAATTTTATAGACCTCTATCAAGTCTCCTCTCAGCCTCTGCCATTCTAGAGAAAACACCCATAGTTTTTCTAGCCTCTCTTTATAGCTCATACCCTCTAATCCAGGTAGCATCCTTGTAAACCTCTTCTGCACCCTCTCCAAAGCCTCCACATCCTTCCTGTAACATGGCGACTAGAATTAAAAGCAGAACACTAAGTGTGGCCTAACCAAAGCCTTATAAATCTGCAATTAGAGAGATTAGTGAAGAGGAATTTTTGGGACTGGATTCAGGAAGAACATTTGCTTGCAAAGAGAGGTTAGCATGTGCAAGCCCAAACAGGCTAACAAAGACGTAAACTCCGAAATCATTCAATAGAAGGTTGGATGCCGCAATAGTGGCACCACAGGAATCTATGGAAGGTCACTTGCATGACTGACTCCCATCATTGTGCTTATCTTTCTGATTTTACCCTTTCTGAAGACTTACTGTGATCCACAAGATTCCCACGTAATGTGATGGCAATGCTCTCTTCAGCCTGCTACTCTGATATTGGTAATTAGTGAGATATGCAGCAACTTTTCAGGATGATTTGCTTGCTGTTTGCCTATATTTATTACTTCAGGGGGTCTAGGAACTACATCTGCAAATTAAGCTTAGCAGCAGTATGCCCCAGCAAGATGACGGCAGAGTATGACACCCCACCCAGAGCTCCTGTTCTCATTCTATACTTCTTGTTTCTTTTCTTTTATTCTCTCTCTTTTTAGCAGTCCTGGGGCAGCGTGCAGGGAAGTAGTCCCTGAGCAGCATGAGGGGAAACCCGAGTCCCGGGGCAGTGCAAGGGGAACGAGTCTTGGAGCAGCGCAACTTACCTTGGTGCAGCATAGTATCGGTGCGCAGCGGGCTGGAGGCTTGGAGCGGAGTGGAACAGATTTTGGACTGGGACCTAGCGCGGGAGGTCGGACCACATGCTGAGCCATTGTTATTTGAAATTCTCTACCGGACTGTAATGTCAATCCTTTAGCTATGTTATATCCATCTTATTTCTAACTTATTTTTTCAATACTGTAAGTAATGTTACTACGTTTCCTTTTATTCCTCCTTTGCATCCAAGATTTGTGCCTAAGATAGCACCATTAAAGGCAGCCATTGTAAAAACTTTTCACTGTGCTCCTGTACTGGAGTACACGTGACAATAAAGGATATTCTGTTCTATTCTATTCTGAAGGATAATATGGTAAGGATTCAAATTTATGCACATTATGTGTTTTCAGCCCCACCAATCCACTGGGTTAGTTTCATATATGTTAAAGATCACAAGGAAGTACTCATAACACAGACCAACTAAACCTTTTGAAAAAAGAAGTCTTAGGTAAGCGTTCTATCTCTGCTTCCCAGTAATTAATGCAACAAATGTTATACAACTGGTGAAATTTCAGGCATGCCAAATTCCAAGAAGAACCTCCTACAAAATGCTCACGAGGTTACATCAGTACAAACGTTAGAAACATGGTTTGTGTGTGCATATGCCACACTTCTTTATTTAACATCAGATAATGGTGAAATGATGGCACTATTAGCATTCTGAAAAAAACACAAAACAATCTCACTTCACATTGTGCATGTCACAGCTCAGGTATTACCCCAAGCCATCCACTTTGTATTGGTGTTTGGTTTGCTCAGAATGACAATATGGTTTCTTTATAAATAGAGTGACATTTCTTTGATATAACAATTTGATGCCCTGCTTGTCAGTTGTCTCTCAGATGGAGAACCATCTGGAACAGTTTGGCAGATATGAGTTTAATACTGTGTCAGTTTGTATTCTATTTATCCTTTCCCATCGAGCCCTCAAAAGAGTATAATAACAACTGCATCAATATATTAAATGGAGACACTAAACCGTGAAGCACACGTCTGCCTGTATTGCAACTCTAACTTCAGTATCTCTTGAGTCAGGTTACATCAGGCCTGTTTAGGCAGCATTCTCTTCATAAAGCATGAAGCTCTCCAAATCTTTTATTATTTGAGGTAGAAGAGTCATCAAACACTATCACAATTCTATCGCAAACTGTGAAGTGACACAATGAGTGATGAACCTTCTAAAATGTGAGCCTGTATGTTCTGTGTTCAGCAAGATATCATTAACGATCTGCTGGGATCATAGTGTTCTTTTAACCAAACTGATTGTGAAGTCAATTCCACATATCAACACTCGCATTCTTTGATTAAATCAAGGAGAACGTTAAAACGACTGTTTCAGTTAGACAACCAACCTCTTAACCTCCCCTTCATAATGTCAGAGGAGAATGCATTCAAATCCCATGCGACCTTTGCAGGGTGAAGTGAATAATTACAGTAGAGTCTCACTTCACTGCAGATGGAGCCAGCTGCTCACACACCCACTTAAATTTACTCCATTGTTAATTTTTATATCAGTTGGAGATTAACTATGTTTAGGCATCAACACAGTGTGAAGCTGGAGGAACACAGCAGGCCAGGCAGCATCAGAACAGCAGGAGTGTCGACGTTTCAGGCCAAGACCCTTCACCAGAGCTGGGGAGGGGAAAGGGAGCTGGCAAAGAAATAGGGAGAGGAGAGGTGGAGCTGTGGGAAGTTAGATGGGATGGTGATAGGTGGATGCAGGTAGGGGTTAGTGAGGATTGGTCGGCAGGAAGGGTAGGGCGGATAGGTGGGAGAGAAGATGGACAGGTTGTGTCAGGTCAAGGAGGCGGGGATGGGAGTGACGGTTAGACCTAAGATGAGGCCGGGCATGGGGAGATTTTGAAACTGGTGAATTCTATGTTCAGGCCATCAGGCTGTAGGGTCCCCAGGAAGAATATGAGGTACTGCTCCTCCAGTTTGCAGGTGGCGTCATTGTGACACTGGAGGAGACCCAGGATGGACATGTCACCCAGGGAGTGGGAGGGGGGAGTTAAAATGATTAGCAATCAGTAGGTGCTATTGATTATAGTGTATGGGGCGCAGGGGCTCCGTGAATTCGTCACTGAATCTACGCGTGATCTCACCGATGTAGAGGAGGCCACATCGGGAGCAACAGATACAGTAGACCAGGTTGAAGGGTGTACAGGTGAACCCCTGTCGGATATGGAAAGTCTGTCTTGAGCCTTGGATGGATGTGAAGGGGGAGGTGTAGGGGCAGGTGTAGCACCTTCTGCAGTTGCAGGGAAAGGTGCTGGGTGTGGTGGGGCTCGTGGGGAGTGTGGAGCAGAAGAGGAGACTTGGCGTGAGTGGTCCCTACGAAAGGCAGATGGGGTAGGGAGGGAAATATCTCTTTGGTGGTGGGGTCAGATTGTAGGTGGCGGAAGTAGTGGAGGATGATACACTGGACAAGGAGGTTGGTGGTGTGGTATGTGAGGACCGGGCGATTCTGTCTTTATTTTTGTTGGGGGGTGGGGTGTTTTGATGGCAGAAATGAGGAAAATGCAAGAGATGCGGTTGAGGGCATTTTCAATCAACAGAGGGGGGATGCTGTGGTCCTTGAAGTAGGAGAATTTCTGGGATGTGCGGGAATGGAACGCTTCATCTCAGGAGAGGCAGACGAATTGGGAATAATGGATCGCATTCTTGCAGGAAAGTGGGTGAAAGGACGTGTAGTCCAGGTAGGTTTGAAATAGATGTCGGTGCTGAGGTGGTTATCAGATATGGAGACAGAGAGATCCAGGAAGGGGAGGGAGGAATCGGAGATGGTCCAGGTGAATTCAAGATTGTGGTGAAAGGTGTTAGTAAAGTTGATGAACTGTTCAAGCTCCTCTTGGGAGCATGAGGCAGCACCAATACAGTCTTAGATGTAGAGGAGGAAGAGGTGAGGGATGGTGCCAGTGTAACAGCAGAAGAAGGATTTTTCCACGCATCCATAAAGAGGCAGGCATAGCTTGGATCCACACAGGTGCCCATGACCATCCCCTTAGTTTGTAGGAAGTGCGAGGAGTTAAAGGAAAAGTTGTTGAGGGCAAGGACAAGTTCCATTAAGGGAATGAGGGTGTTCGTGGAGGGAGCTGGTTGGCACCTCCACACTCCCCACCAAGCCCACCACACCCAGCACCTTTCCCTGCAACCCCAGGAAGTGCTACACCCGCCCCTACACCTCCCATATCACCTCTGTCTGAGGCTCAAGACAGACTTTCCATATCTGACAAGGGTTCACCTGTACACCCTCCAGCCTGGTCTACTGTATCTGTTGCTCCCGATGTGGCCTCCTCTCCATCGGTGAGACCAAGCGTAGACTCAGAGAGCAATTCGTGGAGCACCTGCACTCCATACACTATAATCGACAACACCTTCTGGTTGCTAATCATTTTAACTCCCCGCTCCCACTCCCTTGATGACATGTCCATCCATGGCCTCCTCCAGTGTCACAATGATGCCACTGGAGGAACAACATCTCAGAAGCCTACAGCCCGATGGCCTGAACAGTAAATCCACCAGTTTTAAAATCTCCCCATCCCCGGTCTCATCCCATGTCCAACCCTCCCTCTCATCCCCACCACCTTGACCTGACACAACCTGTCCATCTTCTTCCCTACCTATCTGCCCACCCTTCTCACCAACCAATTCCCACTACCCCTACCTGCATCCACCTATTGCCTTCCCACCTACCTTTCCCCAACCCGACCTCTCCTCCCTCTATTTATTTCCCAGCCTCCTTCCCCCTCCCCAGCCCTGGTGAAGGGTCTGGGCCTAAAACATTGACTCTGCTGATGCTGCCTGGCCTGCTGTGTTCCTCCAGCTCCACACTGTGGTATCTCTCACTCCAGCATCTGCAGTCCTTGCTATCTGTGCATTTAGGCATCAACCAGTGTTCATATATATCGGGGAAAAGTGTGGTTGTTGGTTGGAGACGCACACAACATAATGCATCTCCATAAACAAAAGCTTGCGTGTGTATGAGGAATGGCCTCCAGGCCCATCCTTCACAACCAGCTATCAGAGCTATACCATCCATTACCTCAGACCTTACCATTACTCCAAATAATATAGAAGGAGAAGGGGGTTTATAGATGTCTATGAAATCACATCCTGACCCCAAAATACTCAAAATAGTTGGTATTGGAAGGTGGCAAGGACACTATGTCCATTCATTTTATTTGGAGATAAGGCAGAGGCATTGAAATAATCGTGCACCAGTCATGTAAATTGATGTGATGCACATCCTCACCTGAGTTTTGAAAACTAAATAAGCCTTTGGAAAATGTGTTATTCCATTAAGGGAACATTCATTTTTGGAGCGTTGCATGATAGGATGTACCAGGGAGTGAGATGAGAAAATTTCAGCATATGAACATATGAATCAGGAGTAGGCCATTTGACTGACTCCTTGAGTCTACCCCACTCTTCGATAGGCTCATAGCTGATCTGATTGTGACCTCAACTCTATTTTCATACCTATTCTTTGACTTCCTTGTTAGTAAAGAATCTATCTCGTTCTGCTGTAAAAAGATGGAGTGTCCCTGCTTGTACTATTCGCTGGGGAACAGAGTTCCTCAGATTCATGACCTTTTAAAAAGAATACTCCTCATATCCAACTTAAATGGGATCTCTTAGTTTTAAAATGCGTCCCTCTCAACCTGCATGCTGTTAACTCCCCTCAGGATTCTATCTATTTCCCTGCAATCCTTTCATCTGCCAAACTCTAATCACAACCTGCCCTTTTGTTCCCTTTCTGAGTGTCTGATTTGTTTGACAGGCTCATATAGAGTCATAGCGATCTAAGCTTCAGCCCAATTCATCTGTGCCAGTCAAAAACAACCACCTAACTATTATAACCCTGTTTTCCAGCACTTGACCCATAGCCTTGTAAGCCTTGGCAACTGTACACCTAAATACTTCTTAAATGTTATTAAGGTTTCTGCCTTCTTACACTCTTGCAGGCAGTGAGTTCCAGATTCCCACCATCCCTTGGATGAAAAAGTTTTTCCTCACATCTTCTCCAAACCTTCTGCCCCTTACTTTAAATTTATGTCACTTGGTCAATGATCCCTCCGTCAAGGGGAAGTGTTTCTTCCTGTCTACCCTATCCATGCCCCTTATCATTTTATATGTCTCAATCATGTTGCCTCACAACCTCCTCTGCTCCAAGGAAAACAACCATAGTCTGTCCAATCTTTCTTCATAACTATAGCTCTCCAGCCCAGGCAACATCCTGGTAAATGTCCTCTGCACCTTCTCCAATGCTATCACATCCCTCCTATAATGTGGA